ACTCTTTCACTCTCGCATGATAATTATAAAAAAAAATCTTTCATTAATTTATCTGCTGCATTCATACACTTACCTCAAGTCATTGGTTTCTCCATTAGGGCTGAAATGTACAACACATTCTTGTGAACACCACTATCAAGTTTGGTTCCAACATGCCACCTCAATCTATTGAACCCAATTCGATCTAACATGGGCACGTAAGTTTTGTTGAGTTGTGACCCAAAACAAAAGAAATGGTCAAGCCAGAACAGACCACCTGGCCTCAACACCCTGTATACATCATATAGTACAAACTCAAGCAGGGTGTCTGGTATCCAATTACTTAAAACATCCATGGAGTGCACAATGTCTAGTGTGTTGTCAAAGAATGGAAACCTTTGAGAGATGCTAATATGCATTGGCACCAACCCCCTTGATGCAATGATGTTATTGAAAGGACCATCCAAATTCAGTGTGCTTGTGATGATGATCACATTCCTTTCCCTCATCCTTGCAGCAAAAGTTCCAGTTCCACCACCAATGTCAAGGCCAATACGAATCGTTCCCGCAGCTTTTGTAGCCAGAACTTGGTCTATTCCAAAATCAAGTCCTCCATCATCAAAGATCCACTTGCTCCTCTCTTCACCTTGTAAATCAAAGCAATTCTTGCAGTCAAAGGAGCCTGGCTTATTCTTTCTGTCAAAGAGACACTGGTAACTTTTACAAGCATAAGCATCCCAAACAATGCTAGTGTCTGGTGGGGTTGTCCAAAGGCTCTCAGGCAAAGGTGTTGGCTCCACATAATTTGTAGGAGACTTGGGGTGGCATCTCCTACGAGGGAGTGGCTCACACCCTTTAAGCATGAGCCTTTGTGCTAGCACATCATCCATAGGGCACTCCCCTCCAACTTCATATGCCATATATTGGTTTAACTCCTCATGGAACCTCATGCATGATGCACCAACAGGTATGTGAATCTCAGCTGAGCCTATCCTTGGTGAGTACCCAAAAGGGAGCTTGTGAGGGCCAAGTGCTAAAGTTAGCTCATCACTCCCTACCTTCAAAGTCACTTGATTCTGATCAGCACTGTTGGATTGCTTTTCTTGTTGGCGGGTGAGATCAATGAGCAAAGCCTGGACAAGTAAGTTTGAGGAGTTGAGTCTGTGGTGCAATTCAGACAAGAGTGAGTTTGTGGCAGCAAGTTGAGCTTTGGTGGAGTTGAGTTCCTGCAACATTGAGTTTGAGTCACGAGGACCAAGAGAGGAGTGATACAAAAAACTAAGTGGACCAGTTAAGATGTAAATGGTGACAAGGTTGGTGAGTATGACTAGCATAATTGACTTCAGCCGGTGTTTTTGGCTGTGACCATATGGCTGCAATTTTTTTGAGTATTGTTGGTCATGAGTTTCATTTCCCATGATGGATTAGAAGTGAGGAATAAAAAGAGGTACAAGTGAACAGAAGAAGGGAACTGTCTGTGTAATTTAAGGTTACCTGTAAGGGAATTTAATGATATAAAGACACAAGGAGGGGAAATAATTCCACGTTCTGTGCATGTTTCTAGTGAAATATGAACATTGGTCATTGCGATGCGCCGGTGTGGACGTTCAAGGAATGCAATATAATATGCCTCGTGATCTACACCTTAATGATAGGGAAATTGTAGCACCTGCAAGTTGTGAATGCAATTTATTCATAGCTTGTTTCTTGTTAGTTGTTACTTGAGCACTATCTGCGGATCTCACCCACAACGTATCATAAATAAATTAGTCTCGGAATTCCTTATCAATATCAACGCTACATTACTTGACTTTTTTTAGTGATAATTTGATTCCTCGAGATATTTGATCGGTAACGACAGAGTTTTCTATTACATTATTTTTTTCGTTTGATAGAGGTGTTTTAAAGATTTCATTATCAAAGTTCAAAAACCAACTTTTTATTACGAATTAATGGCAATTTGAAGTAAGGATGTTCTTAAAATTGATGAACAAGATTTTGTTGTTTGATTTAGAAAGAGAAGTTCTTCCAATGTTCCAACCTAACAATTAAAAATAGAATTTTTTCCCCCTCAATTTTTCTCCTGTCTTAAAAGAAAAATTTTAAAAAAATCATCAATTTATTCCTTATCCGCAGGAGCCATGACAGACGAGAACAGCACATAAAATTCACAATGGATTCTATTATCAATTTCATTTTCATCTATACAATCCTTTTCCTATACAAATTTTCGTTAAAAAATATTGACTCTAATTTTTTTCACTCATTTCACATATTATGAAATTATATCACTATAGGTAAGTAGTAAGAACGTAGAAAAACCCTGTCATAATGGTTGACGAACCCTCCATTGTTATTGTCAAAATACAAGTGAACGATACAGAACCCCTCAAGCTTAATTCTTGAATATCACCGCTATTATCTCTGATAAAAATAACTTTAAAAAAAATTGATAAGGAGGAGTTGACCAAGGAGTAATTTATATAATCTGTGGACATTGTATTTATGATACTTCCATTGTCAACATGCTAAAATCCAAAAACAGGGAGGTTGCAACATATATTATATACCCCATGCTCATCTGGCTAAAACACTCGTGAACAGTTCAACTACAAGCTACATCTACTTGAATTGAGTGTAAATGCATATAATAACTCCATGTCTTCCAACATGAGTACGGTTTTTCCAGAGGGGATTGTCTAGACTATTCGTAGTCATCCTCAAAGTCTTACAAACCATTTAAGCAAAAATACAAACTTGCAAGAGAAAAAGGACTCCCAGATCCTTTATGATCAGTTTAATATTGTGCCTTAAACACAAATGGACAATAAATCAGGTGATATTTTTCACTAACCTTTTTCTTATTTCCTTGTATGGAAAAATACTTCTTTATTGACTAAAAATATCTGATCACAATATTGCCCAGTTATATTATATATTTAGTACCAGACCTGTTGATTTTATGTGCTTGTAGGTTTTGGAGCTGTTCAAAACAATTGAGAGCGATTTTCCTTAGATTTTGGATTCATCAAATGAAAGTGCAACAAGTGAAAAGTAGGAGTATATCTATCCTCAATTTTGAAACTGGTTACAAAATACTTTAATTCAAGTCAAAGATAAGTACACCATCACTTTTCACTAAACACACTTCTTTACATGAAAGGATTCAAGTCCAAACCAAAACCCTTGTTTATAAAATTAACATAGTGACAACAATACTGTCAGGACAACTTGGCATGTGATAGTGATACAGCAGAAGTGATAATGAAAGTTGGTTTCCAAAATAAGGCAATAAATGTAACAAAAATAAGAGATTAATTACTCCCCTTGATAAACCTGGCATAATTACATTCATTATCACTTCTACTTGTATCCAAGATAAAAATACAAAGTGATGATTATTTTACCTAAAGAGAAAAGTTAAATAAAATCTAAATACTATTTCTGTGAGGGTGGGCGTTGCAAGAAGCCTTTAGCTATAAGGCTCTCTGCTGCTTCTCTTACGGCATCTTCAACTGGTGTGAAGACAAGGCCCAAGTCTATTAGTCTCTTTGCTGCATCTTTACATGGTGTCAGACCAGGTTGTGTTTCTTCTGGGAAACTGCAGGTAGTTCTTAGTTACTCAGAGAGTTTGGCAGCCTTTTATGTAAACAAATCTTAAATATGAATTTTAATTTATTTAATTTAGAAAACCTATCTGGTTTTATATAAATCTGTTAGAAACATTAGCAGACTAAATAGAAAAAATAACTTTATTTTATTCCAAAAGATGAATGCATGGTTTACAGTAATGATCCAGCAAACCTTTATACATCAATCCCCAGATATCAGCTATAAATCTGTTGGCAACCTTAGCTGTACTAGAAAGAAAAAATAACTTTATTTTAGTTCAAAAGATGAATACAACTATTCTTAATTGCCCTAAAAATTTAAGATTTGTGACAAAGCATGTCATAGGCTCATAGCATTACTTTTCTCTAATATATTCAGCAACCTACTGTATGGGGAGTTGAATCTAATCTGAAGTCTCCCAGACAACGGGATGTTCATATCATCAATGGAAAAGTCCAAAGATCCGAGGTTAACTACAATACTATTCTCACATTCACATGCCATCTTCCTACCATATCCCTATATCATAACTGTTTTTGAGCATTTTCTTTAAATCCACCCATCTAAACTTCTCCACAAACTACACTATGCATGAATGACACAAAAGAGAAGCATATAGTTGACGAAACACAGCACCAGTAAAGCACCACTATAAAGTACATAAACCATATAGACCAAATAGAATTGCAAAGGATTTAGCCCCTAGATGTAAAACTGTATCAAGTAAGAAAACAAGAAGATACTCACGCAATAAACCAATTAGAAATCATCCGAGTATTACAAAAGTCAACAATCTTATCCGATAGGTTCCAGTCTAGAAAACCTTTACCATGTTAGTACATTGACCACATTCTAAATAAATTCAAATCAATAATACTCATCATAGTCCACTTTCTCTTCCATTTCACTTTCACCTCAATTTTCTTCCTATAACTCTCTTCTTTTTCCATCACATCATCGATCATTCCTATTACTTTCTGTCTATATTTTTCTTCTCTACCTCTCTCATATTTCCATCTCCGTCCACCCAAAAAATGGGGTAACGAATATCCTTACTCAATTCAAATAAGAATCCCACTCTTATTTGAATTAAAGTTTCTCTCTAATTTAATAAATAAATTTTTCACACTATCATTCAATCACGACGTGTCATCTGACCGATGAGCTCATGGATCAACTAGTAACAGCCTGTACTAACTTTGACCAATAGTCTCAAGATCGAGTCCTAATATGCAGTTGTAGCTGTATAGTGGTCATTTCCAACTCAAACAGAATTGTCTCCTATGGAGCATACTTCTAGTTTATACCAAAAAATTCACGGCGCGTCATGTATGACAAGTTTGTTTTATTCTACAACAAAGATAAGTTTGTTGACTTCTATGACAAGCTATTGGACTTGTATAACAACAGCCTTACCAATTATGTCAGAATATGATTTCTGATTGGTTGAAGGTATAAAATTATTCACATTCTCTTGATATGGCTATGAAACAGTAAATTGAGAAGAAAAGGAGCAAAGAAGCAAACCTGTGAATAGGGAATTCAGGGTACAAGTGAGAGACAAGTGAAGCAAAAGTAGAAAACTGGAAGATACCATTGGGGCAAAGATATCTACCAGAAGCAGTTGGCGATTGATAGAGCAACAGATGAGCCTTGGCAACGTCCCTAACATGCACCACGCCCAGCCAGTGATACTCCTGCGTCTCCCTCGACCCCATCATCAGCCTCTGCAGCACAACGGAGCTCGCGTTCAGCCCCGCCTGCAGCAGCGGGCCCAGACACGTCGCCGGCAGCACCGCCACCACCTCCACGCCCTCGAACCCCCACGCCGCCCGCTCCGCCTCCGTCTTCGCCACCGGGTACCACTTCCCGCGCGCCCGGCAGTACTCCACGTCCGTCCACGACGCCTCGTCCGGCGGCCTTCCCGCCGGCCACCCGGGGTTCGGCACCATCGCGGAGATCGAGGAAGTGAGCACCACGCGCCGCACGCCCGAGCGCCGCGCCGCCTCGAGGACGTTTAGGGTTCCGCGCACGGCGGGCTCGAGGAGGTCCTTGTGCGGGTCGGCGGGGTCGTCGAGCGTGCAGGGGGAGGCCACGTGGAAGACGCCGGAGCAGCCGGCGACGGCAAGGGAGAGGGCGGCGAGGTCGAGGAGGTCGGCGTGGAAGACGGTGAGGCGGGAGGAGGCGTCCGGGCGGAGGGAGAAGAGGTGGGAGAAGTCGGAGCCGGGGAAGATGGCGGCGTGGATGGCGTAGCGTGGGTTAGTGCTCTCCAAGAGGGTTCGGACGAGCCATGAACCGATGAAGCCGTTGGCGCCTGTTACGCACACCACCTCATCAGAGTTAGGGTTTCGGTTAGCCATGGAAATGGTTTTCTCTATCGCCGGTGCTGTGAACTGTGAAGAAGCCACCGCTACGAACTCCACCACTTTCTATATTTTCTTCTTACTTTAAATATGTTTTTAATCTTTAAGATAAATTTATTTTTATTTTTTAAATTTAAAATTATTATTTTTAATTTTTATAATTTTTAAAAATTTTATTTTATTTAGTTTCTCAAATTACGATAACATATCTGAAAATAACAAATTAAGACAATTATGCGATATCAATTGAATTTAATGTGATATTTTCAATAACAGTAATACCAATACATAAATTTTATATAATAATATTTAATAAATTTCTTAATAAAATTTAAAATAAGTGTACTGGAAGGACCCTATCGGCCACGTGGACCGGCACGTCATGTCCTATCAGATATTGACGCAGTTCGGCTCGGCCATGTGAATCGGCTACGTGGACCGGCATGTCATGTACTATCAGATGACACTGCTCGAATACCACTTCGGTCCGACAGGGGGCTAAGAACTGTGCTCTTCCCATATCGGTTCGGCCAGAAGCCGAGAGAGGACATTTCGGTCGTGTTGTCTCGGCTCGGCCAAAAGTCAGCATCGAATAATTAGAACGACGATTATGATTAGCAAGGATAAGTACATGATTAAGACATAATCAGCCGATTAACATCGTATTACCTAATTTGGTAAATGTCAGAGAAGGCCCACCATGCTCAGGCCCATGTCAGGTATTATAAATAGGTCACACGTAACGAGGTATGTCACTGTTCATTTTATCCTAGAAAATCGTGCCTGTCCTGACTTGAGCGTCGGAGTGCCTTTTGCAGGTACTTCCCCCCTCTGAAGAATCCACTTGGAGCTCCCGTTCGGCCCTCTCACACCCCAGAAGATTACGAGTGTACCCTTAGACAGGTACATTTTGGCGCCCACCGTGGGGCCGAACCGACAGCTTTTGAAGAAGACGAACTAGGTACTATTTCGAAGAGACATAATGGCAAAGACGAGGAAAACACAAGCTGAAGACTACCGATCTGAAGACGAGCATCAATCTGAAGCGGATACTGCCGAGACGCTTGACGAGACCAGCATGGCCGAGATGGTACGACAACTTAAGGAGGAAATGGCCGCCATGAAGTAGCAGCGAGAGAAGGACGTTCGCGAGATGGCCACCTTGAGGGAAGAGAACGCCGCCTTGAAAAATCAAAAAGATCCCACATGGAAACCCTCTGAGCCGACTCACACCCAGGGGTCGTTCCACTCGCTAGGACATATTTCTTTCCCTCACACGTCAACTATTGCCCCGGGGAACCACGCCTCGGCTGCTCAGGTAACCGGCCGACCCGCGTACGTTTCGACAACCGGAGCACACTGACACCCTTTCACCTCAAACATTATGCAATCCTCCCTTCTCGACCATTGGAAGTCCCTCCCGATAGATAAGTACGACGGGACCACCGACCCTGACGAGCACGTCGACATTTTTCTTACCCAAGTCACTCTCAGCACCACCGACGACGCTGCCCTATGCCGTATCTTCCCAACATCCTTGAAGGGAAGAGCATTGAGCTGGTTTACTCGCCTCCCGGCCAACACGATCGACTCTTTCAACACCCTCGCATCCCAGTTCACCATCCAGTTTGCCACCATCCGACCCCACCATCCGACCCCACCATCTGACCTCCCTCGCACTGGTGAGCATAAGACAAGAAAAGAAGAAATCCCTTCGGACCTTCATGAGCTGATTCAACAAAGCGGCTCTCAAAATCCGAGACCTCAACCTGACCGTCACCCTTCATCATTTGACTACAGCTTTGAAGCCGGGACCATTTGCTAACAGCATCTGCAAGAAAGCCCCGTCTGACATGGACGACTTGAGACGCCGTGCCGACAAATACATGCAGATGGAGGAACTCGCGGAATTTCGCAACCAGGCCAGGGCGGAGGTAGCGGCCAAGGTCGAGAAGCCGGCCGAAAGCTCTTACCGTAACCGTCCCAAGGACCTCGTTCCAAGAGATAAGCCCGTGCGAGGACCGAGGTACTCCCATTATACCCCGCTGAATACTAGCCGATCGGCTGTCTTGGACCAAGCACTTGCCTCGAAAGTCCTGGCAGTGCCGAAGAGGGCTGCAACTCCTCCTCGTGCCGATACTACCAAGTCTTGCAAGTATCATCGTAACAGGGGCCACTCGACTGACGAGTGTGCGGCCTTGAAGGACAAAATTGAGGACTTAATCAAACAAGGTCAGCTTCAACGTTTTATCGACCGACCTCGTTCTCCTAGATACGATGACCGACGACATCGTAGGGATCAGCCTGATCAAGACAGGTCCGACAGGCGCCCCTACAGGGAACGAAGCCGATCAAGGGGCCGGAAGGAAGACGATCCGACACCCCAGCCCCAAAGAGTCATCAACACCATTGCCGGTGGATTCGCAGGCGGTGGTTCTACCTCTTCGGCACAAAAGAGACACCTCTGAGCCGTCCGAGTTGTGCACACAGTTGAACGCACTCAACGAAGGATGTCGGCCATCACGTTCACTGAGGCCGACTTTAAAGGCATCGATCCCGATCAGGATGACCCCATGGTTATCAGCGTTGAGATCCACAACTGTATTGTTCGAAAGACGTTGGTCGATCAAGGAAGCTCGGCCGATATCCTCTACTGGAACACCTTCAAACAGCTCGGCATCCCAAAGGCCGAGTTGATTCCTTACAATGAGCCGTTGGTTGGATTCTCCGGTGAACGTGTCCAAACCAAAGGATACATCAAGTTATCCACTCGCTTCTGCTTCGATGGAGCCGATGCTCGAGACATCCCGATAAAATACGTGGTTGTGCATGCCAACACGTCATACAATATCCTTCTCGGAAGACCCTCCCTCAACAAGTTGGGTGCGATCGTGTCAACCCCACACCTAGCCATGAAATTCCCTTCCGAATCGGGTCGGATCATTACCATCCATGCCGATCAAAAAGCGGCTAGGGAGTGTTATTTCGCTAGCCTTCGGTTACCTCGGCTTGAAACGGCCGATTCGCGTGGAGTGAAACGAGTGCACACAGTGGCCCAAGAACTTGATACAATTGTGGACTTCGACCCTCGAATGGAACAGGACGAGAGGGTCGAACCAATTGAAGACCGACATCCTATTGTCATCGGGCCGACCGACCTACACGTGACCTACCTGGGCGCCAATTTGTCCGCGATGGAAAGGCGCGAAATCGGACAAGTCCTTAGGAAAAACAAAGATCTGTTCGCATGGCGGCCGGCCGATATGCCAGGTATCGACCCCAATTTCTTATGCCATAAGCTCTCGGTTTGCCGAGAGGCGAAACCAATCGCCCAACGAAAGAGGAAAACGGGGGAAGAGAGGAAAAAAGCAATAGAAGGCGAGGTCTCTAAACTCCTAGATGCGGGGTTTATCCGAGAAGTCCACTACACTACATGGTTGGCCAATGTGGTGATGGTAAAAAAGCCAAACGGCAAGTGGCGGATGTGCACAGATTACACTAACCTGAACAAGGCATGTCCGAAAGACGCTTACCCTCTGCCGAACATCGACCGACTCGTCGACGGGGCGGCTGGCCACAAATTTTTGTCATTCCTCGACGCTTATTCCGGATATAACCAGATCCGAATGCACCCCCGAGACGAGGACAAGACGGCGTTTGTCACTGAATCAGCCAACTACTGTTACCAAGTGATGCCGTTCGGACTAAAAAATGCTGGAGCCACCTACTAGAGACTCATGGACAGGATCTTTCATGAACAAATAGGCACAAGCATGGAGGTATACATAGACGACATGGTTGTGAAGTCGGCTGATCTTTCTTCTCACGAAGTCGACCTGGCCGATGTCTTTCAAGCACTACGGAGGCATCAGATGCGCCTTAATCCGGACAAATGTGTATTCGGCGTCTCAGGCGGCAAGTTCCTGGGTTTCATGTTATCAAGCCGAGGCATTGAAGCCAACCCGGACAAGTGCCAAGCTATTATCGATATGAGAAGCCCGTCAAATTTAAAAGAGGTTCAAAAATTAGCAGGTCAGCTAACAGTATTGTCTCGTTTCCTGCCATGCATGGCTGGAACCTCCAAACCGATTCTAGGTCTTCTGAAAAAGGCGAACCGATTTCAATGGACCGACGAGTGCAAAGCTTCTTCTCAGCTCTTCAAGGAACGGCTTGGTACCCCACCTGTGCTGGTCAAGCCGACACCCGGCCGGGAGGTGGTCATATACTTGGCGGTAACAAGAAGACCAACAGCAACCCATATACTTCATAAGTCGAGTGCTTCAAGATGTCGAACGCCAATACCAACTCTTGGAAAAGGTAGCGCTAGGACTCATATATGCTGCTAGGCGCCTTCGACAGTACTTTCAGAGTCACACAGTGGTGGTCCGAACCGATTGCCCACTCGCTAAAAAATTCACGGCGCGTCATGTATGACATGGTCAATCGAACTATCCGAGTTCGATATCCATTTCGAACCTCGAGGAGTCATCAAATCACAGAACCTAGCTGACTTCATCAAGGAATTGTCACCACTCGGCCATTTTGAAGACACCACTTGGACAATGCACGTGGACGGCTCCTCCAACGACCAAGGTAGTGGAGCCGGGATCATCTTGGAGAGTCCGTCCGGCATCACCTTGGAACAATCATTACGTTTCGGCTTCCGGGCGTCCAATAACCAGGCCGAATACGAAGCCTTATTGGCCAGGATGAGATTGGCATCTGAGATAGGAGTTACAAAAATCACATGTTGGACCGACTCAAAGGTTGTCACCGAGCAGGTGAACGACAATTTTCAAGTCAAGGATGCCAATTTGCTTAAATATTACCATCTCTTCCGAGGGATGAGCAACCAATTTCAAGAAATACAAGTTAAACACACGCCGCGTGGGAGTAACGAGAGAGCCGACCAGTTGGCTCGGCTAGCAAGTAGCCGCAAGCCGGGACAGCTTCGGTCCACAATACATCCAGAGTTGCCCACCCCAAGCGTCCGACAAGATTGCCTGCCGGTAGATGAAGCCCCGCAAACATGGATGACCAGTATCTGGAACTTCATAACTA